TGCAAAATGCTGAACAAGTCAATGGGCAAAATGGAGTTTATGAGTATGGAAGTCACAGAGCTTAGCTCGGAGGAAAGAAGCATGAAAAAATCGAGAAAGAAGACAGCCGTGTTACATACTCGAGAGAAGTATTTTGTTAGGCCAAATCACCAAGCGACCCCCTCACTTTGTGAAAAATAAATTCGGCGTCTGGCTGCTCCCTGAGGCCAACAGCAGGTCACTTGCCTTCTGCTGTCTTGCGTCCTTATCTGGCCCATTATTAAGTTGGGGCAACGAATAAGCAAAACAAATCTGGATGAAAATTTGAACTCCACTACTCATTAATTTTGAGGTTTTAGGCAAATGGTTTAACCTCTCTGAGTTTCGGGTTTCTTGTCCGTAACGTAGGGACAGTAAAACCTGCTTTGTGGAGTAAGAGTGAAATTAGCTGAATTTACGGATGAACTATGCTTAGCACATACATGCAATAAACGGGCGTGGGTAGAAAGCGTCTTGCACAGCACACAGAGCATGATCGTCATTTATAGCTGCTTCCTTTCTTTCCTGGAAAGGGACAAGGCGCGGTGAGCGACCCCGGGCGGCCTGAGGACTTTAGACATGCACAGTCGCTTCTTGTCATTTTTGGACGCATCTAACTCCAGCTTTGCAGGTTTTGGCCACTGTGTCTTCCCCAGTGACGAAATAGTTCACGTAAAAAAGTTTGAACACTGTGTTTTCGATGTTCTCTTTCTTTCAAGAGCAACTCCTTTCTTCTTGAGATTCCTCTAAATTAAGGAACTCAAACTTACCAGCAATAAAATCTCTTCTCCTTTCTTCCAATATAAGATAACTAACTTCTCAGCTCTATTTAAAAAATTTTTTGTTGTTTATTCTTATTCTATAAAAAGTGAGTATGAGAATATTGGGATTACTAAGAGCTGGCAGTTATTCATTTATTTATTTATTAGAAAGGTTCATAAAAATACAAAGCCTGGGAATTTCTAAAGATAACTCCATCTTCGTTTTTTTTTTGAGGAAATGATTTTTGTCTATTCCAAACAATGACGCTTAACACAATTGAAAGTTGGCACATTCTTGGTAAACAGCATTTTCCGGGCAGTGTGAAGTCTACTGTGTATTTCTTTTGAGCCAGACTTCTCCATATCATTTTGATCTGTAAAATGTCAAAGTTTCCTCTCCAGTATTATATTTACATCTTGGGAGAGTCTGGTCAGAAAGAAATTTTTATTTTAATTTATGAGTGATCAACAATAAAAAATGTCAAGGTCTTTATTGCAATATTGGGGATTACGACTGGCCAAAGGAAAAGCATATAGCAAATTACACGTAGATAAATGTGTAACATAATATATTCGACTTTGATATTTCCAGAAGATATATTCCAGACATTTAAAAAGAAAAGAGGCTAAAAATAGTAAAAAAAAAACCAAAAACCACTCCAATTTCTGAATTATGCGGCCAAAAAGAAAAATAAAAACTTTGATCACCCTTTAATGTGGGTATTATTTCAAAAAGAAATTCTAGCTCTCAACAGATCCACTTGGCTCTCCTATGGAGAACGTGAATTCTGAGAACGGTCCCAAGAGGTCAGCTCCAAGGACGATGCCTGGAAAGGAAAGAGCGAGATGGCCTCTGCTCCTCTGCAGACTCAGAATGGAGCTCTGAGCACTGCCAGTGGGCCAGCTCAGCCTCACTTGGAAACACGTGTTTATCTCTTACGGCAGTTCTGTTAGAATGGCAGCCTTGGTCTTAGGGACAGAGGAGAAGAATTTCTGTCTCTTGGGGCCTTGGCACATTCGCCAGTTGCCCGTATCATCCTCATTGCACTTCAAAATATGTCGCACGTCCCTCAACCTCTAGACGATGCTTTCCGACTAACCAACACCTCAGCTTCTTCCGTCCTGGTGAAATCCTGATTCAAGAAGCTAAAGCAGTAAAGGTATATTTCTGACTTTTTCTATAAAAGAGAACAAGCATATCGCAAGATTCGAGGATTGACATGCTCAAGTCAACAAAATTTATAGTTTAGCTTAGGTGGTTCCTACAACCCACTCTGTAACCTTGTGAGATATGGTTCCACGTGTGCTTTCCCAGGGTTAGTCCTTAATAAATATGCAACACTGACAAGTGAGTAATGTTTTCTGTGGATAATATTTATTTGTTTCAAAATGTTTATATAACTAGATAAATTACAGTGCTTTTTCTATGTTGATTGTACATGATTTTATTTTTAATTGAAGAAGAAATAGAATAAGTAACAATAGAATGAATGTGCTTTGAGAAAACACGTACACCCTGACAACCTATTCAGAAAATTATAACTGAAACCAAAGTGGGCAGAAGGAACGCATTCTGCTCAGATCCAGGAAATGTCGCTAAATCCTGCCTGAGCTCTGGCTCGTCAATTACTTGCTTTCATCCCTTTGTAGGTCTGTTTCTGCTGATTTTTGGCCCCTGTTGTCGCTATTGAGAAGCCATTCTTAGTCACTCTGGTTGTTAAAATTGTTTCTGTAGCGTTTTTCACATCCACAGATGTGTCTACTTGTGGATTTACTGTTACTTGTCCAGCCTAGGATTTATTGTGCTTTTCAAATCTGAGAACTCATGTCTTTCATCAGTTTTGGAAAATCCTAGCCATTATTTCCTCAAATAATACTTCTTTTTTTATATTCTCCTTTTTCTTCTTCTAAAACATCCACTAGACATATATTGGACATTTAAATAGTGTCCTCTATGTGTCAAACTCTCTTTCATATTTTTGGTCCTTTTGAGGTTCTAGCTAATTTCCTTAGTTCTATTTTTTAATCAGGTATTTGTTTATCCAGCTGTGTCCAGCCTGCCATTAAACCTGTCTAAGTGAGGTGGGTTTTTTTGGTTCATTTTGATGTCTATGTAACATTTATTACTAGGACACTTTAGTTTATTTTTGTCTTCCTAGTCTTTTCTGATAGTAACCTGTTCCTTTGTCAAGTTTTTTATTTTATATTTTGTGTGCTTCATTATGAAAAATACAGCCTACATTTATAGTTTCTATTATTTTAATTTCTTGCGGATCTGTTTCTACTGTTTGTTGCTTCTGATTTTTCCTTATGCTGTTTATTTACTTGCATGTCTCGTAATTTTGGCTTGCAAGCTTATGTTTGGCTGGGCTTTCTCTGTTGAAATTCTGGGAAGTATATGCAGAGAGTGTGCACATCCATCCGGCAAGTGTCTGCCTTTGTTTCTGTAAAGTGCCACAGGGCGTCTCCAACCGGGATTACTTTTTATACTGATCACTCCACTTGGCATTTCCTGGCTTTTGAATCCTAAATACTCAGGAGAACCTTTTGGTTCATCCCGTGGGAGCCCAGAGGCAGACAGACAACTTCCGGCCGCAGTCCTGCTGGGAGGCAGCTCATTTTCAGGTCCACCTTTCTCTGCAGGAGTCGTCCTACCCCTGACGTCAGGGAGGGTCTCAGCCCCAGCTCCTGGCTCCTGTGAGCCCCAAGCTCTGTCTCCGGTTCTCGAGTTCTCATTAAAACACAAAAACCCGTCATTCTCTGGTTTTATGCTTTTTGTTCAGTTTTTGACCGCTGGGATTTCCTTTACTTTGTCTTCTTCAAGCTCTGCTAAGCATACTATTTCATATTTTACTCAGGATGACTGGTTTGTAATGGGAGGTTTTTCGGGTTACCCAGCCTGCTGTATTACACAAGGTCTAGGGTATATATACACAGAGAGTATACCTTTTAAACCCGAAGAATCTTTTCCCACCATGAAGGAACAGTGTCACAGATATTAAACTATGGTGCAGGAATTATCAGTGGCTTCATATGTTGACTGGGAGTGGGCGAAACAGCTGAGAATATTAGGGGTTATTTTTACTATGCCACTTCAGGCTTTCATATAAGATTCATAGAAATGCATTTACTTAGTAAGCCATATACTTAATTAAGTATATAACTTCATCTACTGGCCAAAAACATATTGTTTTTTCCAGGATAAATTTCAGAAAAAAAATCCTTCATCTATTGTAGCAAAAAATGGAAGAAAACAACAAACTTTAAAAAACTGAAAGTTGCCATTTGTGAGCCTGGATTTGCTTGAGCAGCAGTAGGATCAAACTGCACTCAAGGGTTATAACTCCCCAAAGGGGTACAAGGACAGCTAGGCTTTCTGAAATTTCTGTCGTCATGACGAAGGTTGGGTAGTAATTTTCACAAGAAAACGAACACCAATGTGACTAAAGTCAGACTGTAAATTATCCCAATAAGATGCTCTAACATGTAAGCAGCACCCAGGACAGCATCCTTGGGAATTGCACGATTTCATTTTATGATGCAAAATACAGAATGCGTGTTCTGTCAGCTGGATCCTTAGAGGAGACCACTAGTGTGGAAACGGAGTCAAATTTTGTCTCTTTCTTGGATGCCTTGTTATGAAGATATGGAGAACGTTGGTTCGTGTTTGTATCTTCCTTCAAATCTCACTGTCTCTGAGACCGCCTGCCCCACGGGATGCTCTGGCTCCCTCCCTCTCCCATCCCTGATCCTCCCCACTCTTCCCCTATGGCATTTATCCCTTCTAATAGGCCATGTTTTATGAATTTTGTTGTCTTGTGTCTGTCTCCTCCCACTAGAGAGTTAAAATCGACCTAGGGCAGGAATCTCCGTGTGTTTTGTTTCCTAACATACTGGCAACAACTAAAGCTGTCCTGTCACATAGGAGGCACTCAAAAACTAGATGAGATATAAATGAATAAATTTTTATTCCCCACCTATAAATCCAAGTGCTAACTCATGGCCTCTCGTTTCCTTACAAAGACATGTGGGTGCAAATGGGACACGTGCATGCAATATATTGATTTATCTGAAAGAAAGTCGCTGCTCATAGAGCAACACCAATGGCCAGTTTTCAGAAGCATAAAGTGACCCAGCCTTTAAATCTGTTGTTAGGTATGTGGCAATTCCTTAGACAACATAGAAAATACGGAGTGTTCGGGACTTGGGTAAAGGTCATACCTCATTTTTTTCTTTGAGTTTTGTGATCATAACAATCACTGGACTGTCCTCTTGCCAAACCATCTGCCAGAAGTCGTTCACGGTGTTGATCATGGGGCCCTGCGTGGCGATGAACGCTTTCTCCTCGCCTCTGTAGCCCTAGTTTGAGTAAAGAGACAAAAATATTGGCTTTGAGGTTCACGTCTTGAGCTGAAAGGTGAAAGGTCTTTAGAACAAACAGCTCTGCTCCTCCCAAAGCGGCCCAGATCCCTCGGCTTCATTGATTCCAGCACCAGAGCTCATGCGGCTGTTCTCCTGGAATGTCAGCTTCTCATACGGTACTGAGGGTCCCAGTGCTCAGTCCTCCCAGAGCCCCCGTGTGGCGCCTGGAGCCGCCGACGCCCAGGAAGGGAAGATCACCACAGAGGACCCACTGCCAGTGTTGTACGACTAAGTAAATGAAAAACTTGCTAGTTATCAAGTTAAATCAAAATTAATCTGCTCTGAGGAAAAAAACTAAACCTGACAATTCTAAACAGTAAGTCGACATGCTTATCAGAAAGAAATGGACATGTAACTACTTACCCGAATATAATTAGCATTAATGTAGGTGCTCAAAGAATCAGTTACATTTTTTGGTCTTAAACACACTCTGCTGAGGGGATCTATAAAGAGAACAAGAAAGAATGTATTAAACAGCTGTACTCTTTCTCTCTCTCTTTTTTTTTTTTTCTGGTGAGGAAGATTGGCCCTGAGTGAAGATCTAGTGCCAATCTTCCTCTTTTTTTTTTTCTCCCCAAAGTCCCAGTACATAGTTGTGGATCCTAGCTGTCGGTCATTCTACTTCTTCTATGTGGGATGCCGCCACAGCATGGCTTGATGAGCTGTGTGTAGGTCTGCACCCAGGATCCAAACTGGCAAACCCCAGGCCACCTAAGCGGAGCACGCAAACTTAACTGCTCAGCCAGGGGGCGGCCCCTAGTTGTACTCTTTCTAAAGCTCCTTAGGGCACAGGCACCAGGACACACAGCCCTGTGAACTTACATCTCCACCATTTGGCAAGTATCGATGTTTGCCACGGGGCGTCTGTGTGTCTGTCTCGTGACCCATCGTGTTTACGGAGGGCACTGGGGCCACCTGACCCTTGTTCTTCACGCAGTCTCGCCCATAAGCCCCAGGGGATGGGTCTACACTTCTCGCTGTTGTTCGTGAGGTTTTGACTCTTGAGCCCATTTCTCATTTACGCTCCTTTTCTCGTTCTTTGGATTTGCAATTTCACCAGGTCTCTCTCCTCCGGACTCTCTCCTGTCCTGCCCGACAACAGACGCTCGGTCTGGACGAACCGTTCCTCCATTCAGAAGAAGCCGTCTGAAGTTACGACGTTCACTGACAGCGCGAATATCTGATATCAGATAGATGGTTACAGTGCTGGCAACATTGTCTAAATGCTAAAGTTACTTTCCATCAAGAGGTTGAAAGGCTCTTTGTGAGAAAATATGGAAGCTATTTTTGCCAACATTTACATAAGCGAATTGAGATCCCGTCATCCCTCTATGATCTCTCTAACTGGGTATTCTCTGAGCCTCTTGAGGGCGAGGCTGGGGATGTTTCATTCTCTCTCTGAGACCCGGTGTCTAGAGTGCTCCTACACACAGCAGACACTCTGCAAACGTCCACCGCGTTGATTTAAATCATCCTTCCGCTTTCCAGGGAGCTGGTTCTGAGGACTCCCCTCCGGCAGCTGCTCTCTGGCTCTTCTTCTCCAGACAGGTGAATCCCGAGAGCTTATCACCTACCCCTCGTCCACCACCCAGTCCTCCTCGTGTCCACGCCGATCCATCCTCGCCCCAGTCCTGCGCAGAGGTCGCCCTTGCTCCGGCCAGCACTGACTCTTTGATACTAGACCGGGTGAGCGCCTGGTGGCGTTTTCTTTCTCGTTCTCTCGATGGCATGAACGGCTCAAAGACCACCCAGCACGTCTCTCCTGTGGAGCCCTCTCCTCCCGGGGAGCCGAGCCACAGCACCCCGGTTCCCCTGCTCCCCTGCTCTTCTCTCAACGTCCTGCTTGTCTCATCTCACGTGGCTAACTCTAGGATTCAGCTTGGGCCTTGTCTACACTCACTTGAACCTGCCTTTCTGGATGATCAATTCATTCCCCTGACTGTAACCATCCCCTATAACCTCGAGGACCCCCGGACCCTCATCTTAGACCAGACCTCTCCCTCGGTTATACACCATGGTTTTCTGTTTGTTGTTTCCTTCTGGATAAACCTCAGTTTGTGAAGCTCCTCGTGCCCAGGGCTCCCTGAGAGCTTCTGGCATTCTTTGTCGGGTGTTTTCTGTTTCGTGGCTTTGCTGCCACAGCCAGAGCCCATGTGTCAAGACTAGTTGTCTTTCTGGACCTGACCTTCCACATCTATCACTCACATTCTGTCTGCTCGACCTCCTAACATGCTCTGGGCTCTGAGGCTCCCTCTTCCCACGGCCGCCTTCTCAGACCAGGCCTGAGCATCCCATCCGTCTCACTGTCTTCAAGCTGCTTCTTCTCCAATCCTTCCTTCTCAGGGCTGCTCAGGTTGTCTTTGTAAAACAAAATCTGGTCACATCACTTCCCTCCCTAAACGCCATGCATGGTCCTGACCGCCACAGCAGTTTTCCCAAACCGTTATCTGTAAATCATCTCTACTATAACATATAGAATTAGGTCACTGAACTTAGACAATAGACTGTCTTTAAAAAAGGAGTTCAGGGGCTGGCCTGGTGGTGTAGTGGTTAAGTTCATACGCTCTGCTTTCGTGGCCCAGGGTTCACTGATTCAGATCCGGGGTGTGGACCTACACACTGCTTATCAAGCCATGCTGTGGCAGGCGTCCCATATATAACGTAGATGAAGATGGGCACAGATGTTAGCTCAGAGCCACTCTTCCTCAGCAAAAAGAGGAGGATTGGCAGCAGACGTTAGCTCAGGGCTAACCTTCCTCAAAAGGAAAAAAAAAGAGTTCAGTCATCAAACAAATATGGTAAACACCGAATTAACCAAAGTTGAACCACATTTCTTCCACTGCAAGACTTCTTAGGGTCTTTCTTATGCTAAAGGACTTTGTGACTTTCAGAGAAGGTATTAGATATAAACGCATTGTCCACTGAGCTTATTTCAGTATGAACTGACAATGCAGACGGTGTAGAGCAGCACTGCCCAGTGAAACTTTCTGTGATAGTGGAAATGTTCTCCATCCGTGCCGTCCAGAATTGTAGCCACTAGCCATGTGTGCCTACTGAAATGTGGCTAGTACAGACTGGGGAACTTTTCTAGGCGTTTTTGACATATTATCATTTAATTCTCTCAACAGCCCTAGAGGGTAATATTATTAGCACTATTTTTAGGGATGAAGAAAGGATCGCATAGGAAGATTAAGCAGCCTGCCATAAATTGTAAATGTTTCTGCCAGGTGGGAAATCGTTTAACTCCAATATTTTCCTTTAGCCACACAACTTGTTGCCTTAGAGAGTGGCTCACTTATGTGCATATCTACTCTGTTACAGGTACTTAATATAATAAAACAGGAAACATAATTTAAATAGGAAACATCACCAGATTTTAACTTTTTAAATGTGAAATGATGGCCAGAGTAAATAGGATTCTTTAATTTTATCTACATTGTTTTATATTTGTATAAATAAATTGACTGCAATGGAAGAAATAAACGTAAAACTTATTATTATTCTTCATTTTTGTATAAATAATTTCATATTGATATACGATCAGTTTTTCCCATTGCTTTTGTGATTTAGGACGTAAACATGTTTTCATCACTAATATTTATTTATATTGCAAAATCACTTGATTAAATCGGACCTTAACACCTTGATCTACTACTTGGAGTGTCCTGAACAGGCTGACACTGTCCTTAGAGAAACTGCTATAATTTATTTGGTTCTCGGCCCTCCATATTTCTGCTGCAAAACGCTCTCCAAATTATGTAACCTCATTAACATGTACAAACTGGCAAGTTTTAAACTTGAGAGAGAGTTTATTGTGGGTTAAAACAATGAAACAATCCTGATATTTTAAATTGTAATCATTTACTGATTATTATTTCCTGTAGCGTTTCAAACTTATCCCATATTATAGCCTAAAATAAATCATAAAGAACAGCTTTGCATATTCGTTTGTCTTTTCTGACGATTTTCAGCCCACAGTGTGGTTTTTCCAAGCCACATTAACTAAATTACATTCCGTGCAACAGGGGCTGGGTGGGGCATTCAGGCTACAGACATTTTCAACAGAAAATCCATCATTTGCAACGTCAGCTATCAGCACAGGTGCCCGGGTTCAAGCGATCCACCCAGTTCTGGGAATGGAAAAGCTGACATAGGACTGCGGAGCGGTTGTCTGATAGCATCTGGGCAGGAAACAGAGAAGACTGAGCTTTTGAATAATCCTAATAATTCCCAAATCCTTCTGAGATCAGATGGTTAAATATAATAATTGCAGTGGATGTATGTGCCCTAATTATGTTCAGTTAATTTTAGATGAAGAATCTTGAGAAAGAGACAGAGAGACAGAGAGAAACACCAGTCCTAACACGGCGCCCTCACGCCCTCCAGCCAGGGGTAGTTGGATAACTCTCAATAGTGACCTTAGGTAAACAGACTTAAGGACTCAGACCAGTTGAAAATATGCTACAGCGGAGTGACTTTAACAATGTTTCCAACTCCACCAGAGAGGGAAGCCCAAAAACACCATTGACGGCAATCCTCCTCATTACCATAAGTGTGGAGAATTTGTTTGACTAGTGAATTAATGGACTGAAATATGAAGACTCTGCTCTTTCAATGTGGGTACTTTTTAAAAGGCTTTGTGGCTCCATCTTTCCAGAGTTGTTGCCTTGAAATATTTATGGATTTTGCCAAAACCCCAACTGTAACTGTTTGTTTAGTGATTGACACTGTTACTTCCTCTCTGAAGTGTTTTTGCCGCTCCAGCAGAATTAATTAATCCTCTCTATACTCCTGCACCGCTTGGCCGGGTCTCTATTCTGGCTCTTCCTACGTTGAGCATAATTACTCATCTAAGTGTCTCTACCTCCAGTCTGTGACCGCCTTCATCTTACAGACTGTTCCTTCCTTCTTTCTGGCTTCTGGCATCAGCTCGTTGCTTGACGTCAGTAAATTTCATTAGGCTAAATTCAGTTGTAAGACAGTGTACAGCCGTGTTTCTCAGAGTGTTGCCCTGGTGTTGTCTGTGTTAGAATCACTCGGTGTTGGCTGGAGGCACAGTTTCTCAGGCCCCAAAGCAGAGCCACTTAAACAGAGCCCTGGGGTGCGCCCAGCACCGTGGGATTCTAATCAGGACTCCAAGTCATTGTCACGCACAATGAAGTTTCCTGGTAGCAGCTTCATCGACATGATTCACATACCATTTAAAGTGAGCCATCGTTGGGGTTTGTTTCCTTTTTTTATTCACAGAGTTGTGCAACCATCAGCACAATCAATTTTATAACATTTTCTTTATCCAAAAAATAAAATCCATACCTCTAGCAGTCACTTCCCAAGCCTCCAACACTAGCCGACCACTAGCGCAGTTTCCGTCTCTATGGAGTTGCCCATCGGAACACTTCACATAAACGGAATTACACAGTACGAGGGTTTTTGGCTGGCTTCTTTCACTCAAGCTGATGTTTTCAAGGTTCACGCAGGCTGTAACATGCATCGGCACCTCACTCCTTTTATTGCTGAATAATATTCTGCTCTGTGGATATACCACATTGTGCCCATCCATTCATCAGTTGATGCATATTCTCGTTGTTTCCACTTTTAGGGTATTATGAATAGTGTTGTTACAAACTTTCATGTACAGCTTTTGTGGGAACACATGTTTTCATTTCTCTCGGGTACACACCTAGGAGCGGAATGTCCAGGTCCTGTAGTCACTCTCAGTTTCGCATTTTGAGGAACAGCTGGAGTGTTGCCCAGGTAGCCACACCACTTTACATCCACCGGCAACGTAAGAAGCTTCCAATTTCTCTACATTCTCGCCAACGCTTTCCGTTGGTTATCTTTTTTCTTCTAATCATGTGGATGTGAAGTAGTGTCTCATTGTGGTTGTGATTTCCCTGGTGGCTAATGACGTTGAGCATCTTCTCTTGTGCTCACTGGCCATTTGTATATCTTCTTTTTTCCACGAAGGTCACCTGCGTCAACGTGTCCACAGTCACGAGTTGCTCCTGTTAACTGCCACCAAGTCAAGCTCAGTGTGTATCTCCCATGGAGAAATGTCTATTCAAGTCCTTCGCCCATTTTTAAATTGGGTTATTTGTCTTTTTATAATTGAGTTGTAAGAGTTACTTATATATTCTACATATAAATCCCTTATTAAATGCATAATTTACAAATATTTTCTCCCATTTTGTGAATCATCTTCTTATTTTCTTAATAGTGTCCTTTGAAACACAAAACTTTTTGATCAAGTTCAATTTATCTATTTTTTTTCTCTTGTTGCTGTCCTTTTGGTGTCAATATCCAAGAAATCATTGACTAATTCGAGGTTGTGAAGATTTACATCTGTTTTATACTAAGAGCTCCATAGTTTTAGCTCTTACATTTAGATCTCTGATCCATTTTGAACTAATTTTTGTATATAGTGTGAGTCAGGGTCCAACCTCATTTTTTTGCATGTGGATATCCAATTGTTTTGAAAAGACTGTCCTTTCTTCATTGAATTGTTTGATACCCTCCACGAAAGTCAATCGACCGTAATGTGTGGCACAACAAAGTTTTAGAACACGTGTCTACTGGAATTGCGAGCTGACCGTTATAGTAAGAGTGATACAGATAAAGCCATTAACCTCTGACCCCTTTAGTGATTATCAGTCTTGATATGTGTTTGCAACACCATTTTGGTGTGCTTTCGGAAATTGTGAGGATGGGAAAGGGTGAGGTGGGGGTGAATTGGGGAGGCCTGTGCTTTACAACACAAACTGTTTAATTCAAGAAACTTACTTGGCAAAATGGTCTTATAGCGATTTTTAGTTCCATGGCGTGGAATGTCAATTTCTTTGGGATCCACAAAGTTCATTGGTATTTCCTGCAAAAATAAATGATATCAAATTAGTGTATCTAATGCCGCCACAAGGAAAATCTTCACAGGGGGCCCTATGATCGAGAGCTGGGTTGGACTTCAAAGTCACTTATAAAACAACAGAGCAGCACCTCTGACTGACCAACACCTTTCCTTTTATAAACACACCAGCTGCACCCTGACAAGCTGGACTAAGAAACAGCTCTGTGTGCTAGAAAGGATTACTTTATATGTAGTCATTAAAGAGACATATGAAACTTTGGTTAGACTTTAAGAATCATGTTCTGACACAATTGCTAGGAATACATAAACAGGCAGCTAAAAAATTGATTTTTTAACAATGTATTCAAACTCCTTCAAATCTTTATGTAGGTTCAGTACCAAGAATTTCACTATGATGAATTCTCTCTTAACATTAATTGTGACTCTTTTCGGATTATTAAAACCTTCCTCCTCAAATGGTAAATATAAAGGGCATTTTTGTTGATTCAGTGATGACGATATGATGTTTTTTGTATTAAGAAATGGTTTAGAATTGTCCTGTTCCATTTGTGGTTGTAAATACAATATTTCTAGTGAAGGGCATCCAGACACTGCTCTCTTCCACTTAACAGGAATATAAATATTCTCATGCAGTCAGAGCATATGTCACATGCCTCAAATGCTCCGACAGGGAACAACTGGGGCAGAAGCGGCTCTGTGGAAACGTGTTAGACTACAAGGTGAGCGTCTGCCGCCGACGGGGGCAAAGACGCAACAAGCCAGCCTTCAGAGGGCCCAAACAAATATTGAAGGATTTGATCATAACAGATACTATGTTCTCTCACTTAAACTCTGCAAAGGATTGCTCAGATAAGGGTAATGTGAAATAAAATGACTTTTATCCCTAGAGCACATGAAGTAATATCTTTGTTACTTAAACTTTCTCCAACAGAAAATATTACTCAACAGCCTAATGTTCATTGAAATGAAAGAAATTATCTACAAATTAATTTGAATTGTTCTAGTCTTCAGTCAATCTGAAAACGTGAGAAAAGCCTGACTGTATCATGAATTTGAAATTTGGTCTACAGGAGGAGTAGCTTACTTTTTTGAATATCCTTTCCCAAGTCTGCACTAGTTTAGATATTTATGATACTCCAGCTAAATGTTATAAGTTCTCGGTTCCAAGTTACCAAAATAAGCAAAGTTGCTGAATGTTCCATAGAAACCCATGTTCACGTTTGATAATTTCAGACAGGTCGGTCTGTCTTGGCAAAGCCACAGGTTGGCAGCGTCTCTGCTGCTCCCCGCTCCTTCCCGTTTTCTGACACTTGTCTTCTTCCCGCTCTCTCTCTCCCCGGTGGTCCTCGTCGGCCTCATCCCTCCTTTCAGGGAAGTAGCTACGTGAAGGGCTCATCTTATAAAGACCTACCTGCGATTCTGGAGAATACTGAGGAACTTTGGCTACCTGTGTGCTCACTGACTGGGTCCTTTATCCCTCCAGGTGTCGTTGTCTTCATATATAGAAGACGACATGCTACAAAGTCTAATTTAAGCAACTTCTTGCCTGTATTTTACTTTGGACACATAATAACAGTTGATGAGTTTGGCAGATCTAACCCGCTGCTGGATTTTTCACAGTTAGGTGCTCGCTAATAAACTGAAATGACCCTACTGTGGTCAATTATTATATTCAACAGACATGGCTTAAGATGTACAGCTGATTTAAGATACAGAGTGTTTACAAAATGGACATTCCCTTGGGCAGCAATTGGACCTAAGAAGGTCTCATCTATCTCCTTGCTCTCTGGGTGGAAATGGTGTTCTCAAACATTAAGCTTCACCAGCAACACTGATGGGGCACCATCATTTTTAGCCGAAACTCTCCGTCATTTTTAGCCCACACTTGCTCTTCCCTTGTGCTCCTTATTTCATTAAAGGGTGCTCTAAGCACCCTGTTGCTCAAATCAAAAAATCGGGGTATCATCCTAGACTCCTTTTTCTTGGCTGCCTCATCCAATAAGCCCATTTCTTGTAGATTCCTATAGATTCTCCCTGTGTTCGCGGCTGCTCTCTTAGTTTACGTCACCATCACAGTTCCACAGGATTATCTCCAGTCTCCCAAACACCTCTTTCTAACGCCGACTCAACGGCAGATGGTGATCTCCTTAAACACAAGACAAAGTCCAAATTCTTAAATATGTATTACAACTTGGGTTATTTTTACGTCTCTGAGGCTCACCTTTTGTCACTTCCCACCTTAATTTCAACGCTCTAGTCAAACTGAGCAATTTAATTCCCGAAACAGTGACAGCAAGGCCGGTCCCTCTTCCTTGAATGCCCCCCTCTCTGCCCAGCTCCTCCTTGACCCTTCTTTGCCTGGCCAGCTGCTACACACTCTGCCTCCTCCTAGCTCTCACATTCTAGTCTGAATGCCTGTCCATGGCGGATGAGATGCAGGGCAGACCTAAGACCCTGCCCTTAACCTTTTGAACTGTAACCAATTGTTCACCATGAGCTGCTGGAGCGGAGGGCAGCGCCATTTTAGTGCCTGCCTCTAGTGCCCAGTATATCAAAATACCTATGGAAGAGTGAATAATACACAGCAGGCTCACCATGAATTCACTTTGGAGTAAATGGGAACTTGCCACGATGTCTCTCAGCTGTGACCTGGTGAGAATTCGGCTGGCTGACTGCAGGTACTCCATAGCTACCTTCTCCCGTGGGGTCGGTACAGCCACAAAGGGTTCCACGCTCCCCAAGCTGCTCATGTCCAAAGTAAGAGACACATTGGAGCCTCGTCTACAGTAGAGAAAAACGTTGTTAGGTTTAAACACCATGAATTATTTTGACTGTACAAATGTGTCTTTGTACATACACATAGTTCAGTGAGAACTTTTACAGAAAGAAGGACCAATTCTCCTTTTCTCTTATGGTACCATAATTGACCATAGCAACTATCTACAGTTTTTTTACAGGAAACTGACAGTGTTGTCATTGGAAATAGCTCTGAACTGAGAAAATGCACTATTATTTATTAATGGGTATACTTGGTACAGAAATAATAGGATGGTTAATGATATTAAGTGAAAATTTTAGGAAAAGTCAACATCGCATTTGAATTGAGCAATCGGATGTAACACAAATCACCTTTATTTATGTTATGTCTGAGAGTCTAGAGAATAAGTCACAGAGCCACCTAGTATTTTTGACATCAATATACTGTACTCATGATTTTTTGGACCCAGGAAGCTCAAAGGAAAAAAACAATCTCTTTATTTTAGTTCAAATTATTCCCATTGAAATAGAATTCAAAAGCTTAAAATATATTTTTTATAACTTCTAGATGAGTCCCTAAGAAATAGCTTTTGTATCCACCATTTATGTATGTATGCATATATGTGTGTATTTGCATATGTATGTTTGTGTTTATTTAATTCTGTGATAAACTTATAAGGGATCATAAAGATCACAGACTCTTACACTAAATTACAATTTATCTTTCCTCTGTAAGTTCCCTCTTCTTCTTGGGAGGGGAGCGGGGCTCCTCTGACTTACAAAGACCCCTTGTGTCCTGGATGGAGGTGTGAGTGTCTCTTACAGTAACGTTAGCTGTGTGGAACCAAGGAGTAACTATAAAGTGGCATGTGCAAGTCTGAGGATCAAAGTCGGAGACTGTGTTTTCAAGAACTGTCACATCTGAGGGGCCTGAGGTATGTGTCAGGTGATCAAATACGGCACCAGGTGGTTGGTGTCCCGAGGAAATGGAGAGCAGGGAAATACAGGTCAAAACGAATGTAAGTAAGACAGCAAGATCAGAGACAGGCCCTGCATAGGACTTCATTTGGATGGTGTCTTACGTGCTTATTGTGGAGGACTCACCAGGAAGCATTCAAGTGGCTAGAGCTTAATTTTAAACAATGGAAAACTATTGGAACATACAACAAAAAAACCCATTGAACAAGAACTTCTCAGTTCTTTCCTCCTATGAATCTCCCTCTGGCTGCAGCTTTGGGCCATTCCATAGTTTGATATGTAATGCTATATCATTTTTGTTAATTTCTAAATGGTTTGTAGTTGTAGTTTTAATTCAAGCCCTAACTTGTTTGCCCATTTATTTTCCTTATTAATTTCTAGTTATAGCACATGGAAGTCAGAGAACAGCTGGTCTTCTAATCTTTGGAATTTCTTGACTCTTTCTTTGAGACAAATACTATTATGAATTTTTCTAAATATTTCATAGCTGCTTTTGCTGGGAACTAGTTTGGTTACTTACTATGTAGCTATTGAAACATATATACACACACAAATATATATCACCTTATTTATTATATTATTTTATATTATCAAAGATATTATTCTAATCTTTTGTTTCCTTACTTTTTTCCTACTGGATTTGTCAAAGCGTGAGATATGTGAGTCTTCCATAATAACTGTATGTTATTTTTCCTTATATTTGTAACAGTTTACTTTATATATTTTATTATTTATTTATTTTTGCTGAGGATTCATCTGAGCTGACGTCTGTTGCCAATGTTCCTCTTTTTGTATGTGAGCCACCACCACAGCAGGGCCACTGACAAAGTGTTGTAGGTCAGCACCCAGGCACCAAACCCGGGCCACCAAGGCAGAGCACTGAGTCTAACCACTAGGCCACAGGGCTGGCCCTCCTTTATACATTGTGGACATTGTATTATTTGAAGAAATTCGTAACTTTACCTTTTCTGTAAATTTTATCAATATTAAATACTTTCCCCTTAATTTTACGTCTGGATTCACATCTGACTTTTAAAAAATATTAATATTGACATACTATTTTTTTGGCATGTTCTCGAAAAAGCTTTTCTAGTCTGTATGATTATTTTTGACTCTTTGGATCACTGCTTTAGGGATTAGGGGATGGCATTCTGATACCCCGTAAACCATCACTGATCTGATGAAGGGATGTTTGTCCCCCGTCCCTTTTTCTGGTGGCTGTTGGTGGTGATCAGCAGGGCTGTGTGTTGAGTATGAGGTAAACAGTTGTGGGGGAGCAGAGAACGGTTCTACTTTCAGGACAAGAGTTTTAATCTATTTTTAGTGGGAAAGCAGTTTTTCGAGTTTCTCAATCTGGTTTTTTTGGCCTTTAAATGGGCAGAAATTCCTTCTTGGTTCTGATAATAGGTTGTCTATTGGTCTTAGTTTTTGGTGTATTTGGAAGAATTTGGCTTTTGCTGGTTTCATAGATATTTTAGTAAGGAGCCGGGAGAGGCTGCTTAGGGGACTGCTCATCAGTTCATTGCTCCATTCAGTCCATGTTCAGGCCCGAGAGACGGAAGTCTCCGCGCTCTGCCTGCTGAGTGACACCTAGGGCCACAGTGGCTCAGCAGCAGGCCAACCTCTTCCATCCAGAGTGCTCAGAGCGGATGCACGGGCCAAGAGGCCTCGAGGGTAAAAGTGTGACAGATAAACTTTCGGTGCAGGGCTGTTTCAGAGAGGGAGCCTGGCAGGAGGAAAAGTGGGAGCAGGAAATGATGCAGCAACTTTGAGAAATGGCCTGTAAGCAGTTTGAGCTGGAGTTCAGTTGTACAAAAACGCATTCTGGAATTGGGGGTGGGTTCTGTGGGAGAGATGAAAGAAGCAGGAGTCACAGGAACTATCAGACTACGGAGAGCCTGGCCACATCCAGAAATGGGAGAATTCAGAACATCAGAGGGAACCGGCTTCTGCTCTGGGTGCCCACAGCACACCCCACCCAGGCCCGAGAGCAAGGCCTCTGCAAGTCCCCACCAAGGCCCATTTAATCCAGGGAGCCAGTCGTCCTCCGAGGCTCCTCTGATGATCTGGGAACCACAGAAGCATTTTCACCGAAACTGACTTCGTAAGGAAGAAGGACTTTCGTCGGAAGGGAAGGAGGAAGGAAACTCACATTTATTAAACATCTGCCAAGCTCCGTTCTAAGCACTTTCACACCTGGCATCTCAGTCCCCACGGCAGCCACCTGAGGTTCCACTTCCCTCATCGAACGGTGAAGAAAGAACTAATTTAGAAACACAGTGGGGGAGCAAGGACTCAATCAAGTTACGATAGAAACCCAAGCTCCCTCCGCTTTGCCACCCAAAAGCAAGGGTGTGCTGGATGGGTTTTGTCAGACTCCTCAGTGCCCCACGTGGAGTCGGGGTCACTTGTTGGGGGAAGAGATTACTGAAGTGTCAAGTGGAGGGAGCACTGCATTCAGGGCGTGAACTCAACCTTCGGTCACTCTGGCCTGCCTCTCCCACGGCCTCAGGGTGGACCTTTAGTCAGGCTAATGAGCCTCGTTGCATCTCAGTTCCCTCTTCTTCTGTGAAATGGATAATAAAGTGCACCCACTTCAGAGGGTTGTCACAATGATTGATCAAATAGTGTCAGTAAACTGCTCACAAAAAGCATTGACTGGCTGTTATTAATTTGGGTCGTAATGAATAAAGTCGCACAAAGTTTCGCCTTCTGCTTTTCTAAGGGATCTATTTTAAGAGATCTTCACCAAAATTCAAAAACTGTCTACACTGAGATTAACGTTAACGTTTTAAAATCAATGGATCGTATCTACATATTTGTCGCTAAAGAAAAATACATCCTTCTTGATAACCTATTTATCTGGAAATTTCCCTTTATTACAGCAAAGCCATTTCCCCTGAACCCTAAACAATTCCAGGACACTTCCCCTCCACACCTCAGGCAATGTCTCAAAGTTCCATCGTGGAGTTAAATTTTCACAAGCCATTGACTTTTCCACAAAACAGCCCTTACAGTGGCAGGTATCCCCTATTCTGGCTGTGAAATACTACCTTAGGGTGGCATTAACTTGGAAAAATCTCCGCTTTTGTTAATTCTTCTTTTTAAGAAGTGAACAATGTTTAGGTTACTTGGAATACAGTGGAATTAGGAAATAGAATCAGTAGAATCAGTGTAAGAATTTGTGCCCTTCTTAGTTGTGTCTCGTGCCTGGAGAGAAGAGATTAAATACACATCCATATATATTTTGCAGTGTTAATTTTCTCATTATAAAAGTTCATTGTAGAAAATTTGTAAAATTTAGAAGTTTTAAAAAAGGTATTAAAATCACTCAGAGTCACATGAACTTCACTAGAATTTAAATTGACTTCTAATTTTGCTATTTTGCAGGGGTAATGGCAGGGGTAACAGCAGGTGTAATGGCAGGGGTAACGGCAGGGGTAACGGCAGGTGTAATGGCAGGTGTAACGGCAGGTGTAACGGCAGGTGTAATGGCAGGTGTAACGGCAGGTGTAATGGCAGGTGTAATGGCAGGTGTAACGGCAGGTGTAATGGCAGGTGTAATGGCAGGGGTAACGGCAGGGGTAACGGCAGGGGTAATGGCAGGGGTAATGGCAGGGGTAACGGCAGTGACTCACGGTCTAACCTTTATGCTTTGGTTAGAGACAATGTGAACAGCTTTCACATGACTATTGCTCATTTGTTTGTCCTTCTCTTTGAGAGTTGTCTATTGATGCTCTTTCCTAATATTTACATTATGGCATTAGCGTATTTATTTTGATTACTATGAAATATAAGATAATTACTTCTCAGACATATCTGCTGCATAGATACAGTTTACAGTTGCCTTAAAATACTAAGGATTTTTAAAAAGTCATATTTACATTCAGTCAAACATATCAATCTTTTCTTTTGTGGTTTCTTGCATTGCTTTAATACACAGAGATTCATCTAGAAGTTTAGATTTTTTTTAAGAGTTAATCTTTTAATCTATTTGAATTTATTTTGGGGTATGGTAAAGGTGAGACTCATCTAGGTTTTTTCCC